AGAGTAATTTACAACAGCTTCGAACGTGGCTCAGCCAATCAGAATCAAGGACCGGAACGATCCGTTTTATAATGTTCTATTTAATTTCACATAACATCAACACTTTGGTAAATATTTAGGTAGGATACATTTTAGAACGTCTATCATTAATTATGCAACATTGGTTTAGTACAGATACGTTTTTGTAGTAATTTTGAATATTATTTTAAAGATATTTAGCTTTTGCAAGGATGGGAACATTCTAGAAGTTTCTGTAACATTCTGTAATATTCTAGTGCTTTCTGGAACATTCCAGAACATTGTGGGACTAGAAAAATGTAAATACTTTTTTTTTTTTAAATCATCCAATGTACACTTGGAAGTTTTGGACTGCTCACTTTCGGTAACCGTTTATGTTAAATTAACTGTTTATGTCATTTTTATGCATGAGTAATAACAGATTAGCTTGTATAAGTTGTCAACACATTTTTTTGTTTTCATGAGCACTGTTAATGCTACACAAAATGTAATGTGGTTTTCATATTCAGCATGTCAAACTTCTTTAAGAAACATTAAAAATAATAGCATAACAACTTTTATAAATCCTTGTTTCACATTGTACAAGGTAATCACACATTAATGGCATCACACATTAATAATAATTTGACATTTAACAGAAAACTAGATAGCAAATAATCATATATAATAGCTGAAAATTATCATATATATATATATATATATAAATAACTGTACTGTATTTATTATATTATATCATATTTAATGTGCATACACTAAAAATATAAGCAAGTCATTCAGAAGCTGATTCCTCAAAGTGCAAACATCACTTTCTTGGCTTTAGTGGCCTGACAACTTCAGTCTCAACCAACGGCATCAGTTTGAGACAGCACTACTGTTCAGCTGTACAACAGAATCAAGCTCTTTTTTTAAAGTTTTTACTAGTTGCAATGAAATTATCTTTAAAATAATCTCTTAGAACTTTCCTGTTTGAGTGGCACTGCTTAATGCTTTCATTTCTGTTCAAGCCATGTTTACTTTGTGTTCCTGGAAATAGTCGCCTAGACGCATCACATTCTCCTCAGGGGCTCACAAACAGCTCCTGCGTGAGGTCTCCAGCTGTGTCCGGGCTCAAAGACACGTCCAAATGATTATTATGGCATGACAAAAGTCACCAGCTAATAAGCAGGATTATATCCTGAAGGTCTCACTCTAAATATCTTCTGTCTGTGTGTGTGTGTGTGTGTGTGCTCGTGTGCATGCGTGTATGGGATGAAGAAACTTCTTAAGAGTGGCAGTTGGTCTACTGATCCCCTCCCCTCTCTCTGAGGAATCTGAGCGTTCTTCTGCCTGCTAGCGTCTCTTTAGTGTAACTGAAGCTGGTTTTGCATCTGCTGTGTGTGAGAGTGTTCACACACACACACACACACACACACACACACACACACACTCCTCTCCACACCCTGCACTCCTTCTTTAGCCCTAGTCCAATCCCTAATTATACTGTACGCTCCACACAAGCTTTATACATTTTTATAACCACATGACTACTTCTACAACAGGTATTGAGGTATGTTGCTTGAAGGGCTCTGTCCCAAGCACAGATTTTTCTCTCCGTACCTGCTGCCAGGAGCTCTAGTCATCCCTGAGATTACCTGAAACATGACACTGTGTTTCTGTCAACACAACACACTGACTACACCTGATGTGTCAGCCACTGACTCACTTTTATCTGAACAAAACAAAAAAAAAATGTATGCTGCATTTGTATTTATTATCAATGTCTGTCCTGTCTTAAAGAGGAAGCATACAATTTCTACACCACTCTTCCAAAAGGTTTCCGCCTATTCATTCAATGGATAGACAAACAAGTGGTCCCGCGGACTCCTGCCCCAAACTCACACCAATGTAAGTTGTATCATATGCTAGTGTACGTATTTTTAAAACCTTTTCAGCCTATTCTTAAGGTGCAGTCACATTCACTGTTGTCTATCGAAATCAGTAATTTCGATAGGAATCTATGCGATTGGGAATTTCGTGTGAGGGCGAAAGCTTTCCCCATGCATATTTTGCAACGGGTTTAAGTTCGTCATGTGGACTTGCCATATTGACCAACAGAAAGCTGTTTGGTTTGAAAGTGACTTCTGTGTGAGCTGTGCTTCACTCATTGCTACACTACTGATAATAACCAATAGTTCAATTTAAACACAAATTGAGATGTCCAAAATATCTTGTCCTTGTCCTATCTTGCTCTCGTCCATACAACAAAAGCGAACAATTACTGTCAAGCTCCAAAATGAAAAAATTTACACTAAAAAAAATATAAAAGTGTGCAATATATTCTAAGGCTTCTGAAGCCATACTGTTTTGTGTGAACCAAAGACTCTCATGTCAAGTTCTCATGTCTTATTGTGATATATTACGACAATGTTTTGAATCAATCACAAGAACAACTTTTAATAATACTTGTAATAAACTTAAGGCCTTTCCCTCA